CTCAGATATATTATACTATGGTGACTGTTTTAACCATGTTTAATGAGGAAGTGGGACTTATTTATTTCTGTAAATAGGTTTCTTTGTAAGCAGCTCAAAATATCTTTCCAGTTTGAAAAACAGACAGCACAATTTTACGAAAGACAGCAATATTCATTAAAGAAATCAATATTTATTTTTAACAATGACATCAAAAAGCTATTGCGCACTATGACAATCGAGTGTTTTTTATTGCTATTTTATCATTAAATATGTCTATTTGCTTATAAGGACAAGCTCGCTATAACGTCAATTCCAGTTGCCATTACGAATTGTCATTATAAAGGAATTTTGAGTGTACTTTTTATGAGTTTTAAAATGCAAAATTTGAAATTAATAAGTTGAAGAGTGTAGTGAAAAAATAGCTCGTTGTAGCCTAAGTAAGGAAACTGGCCAAAGCATAACAGCTGACCAACACCCTGTTAGTCAGAGAAAAACATATCTAATAGGGTGTCTAATAGCGCCTTTAACAGCTACACAATTCTCGTATCGGCGTTTCATATTGTGTACCAGGGTCTTTATCAATCCTTTTGGCAACCGCACCCACTCTTCGTGCTGCAATTGAGCTTCCAAAGGCGTCGCTTTCCAGACTAAATCACGACTCATCACAGGAAAGAACTCATCCCAGTCATCCTCCGTCTTTGGACAGGTGTTCTTGGCACCATGCTAGACGGTCCTTTTTGTGGTTCACAGTCAAAGGGATGCAGGCTACAGGCAACACCTCCTAGAAGTAGAAAGGCCTCAGCACGGATCAATTTAGTAGTCAGATGTGACGAAGTTAACTGCGCAGTAGACGAAAAATAAGAAAGACGATGCTAGGGGTACTAAGCTGCGCAGTGGTTGAAAATACAAAATATGACACTACGTTTGAACTACTAAGGGATATTTATGGTAACCCGTGCTGAGGCCTGTTCTTTCCAGGAGGTGTTGCTACAGAGCGCCTGGCATACAGGCTACCTACATTAATTCTCTAGGCGACTATTTTTCGTGAAATGATTGTTATTGTTGCATAATACAAGTTGTGAGGCAGTTTTGTCACTGTCGTGGACCTATCCCTTTCACCTAGATGTCTCAAATAACGGTCTTCAGTCGATGTCTTGCTCTTTTGCGGCCTTGACCGGGACGACAGACCACTTTTCCTGTGTCTTGTGTACATCGGACACCACATTTCTCTAAACCTTGAGGTCTCTACAACAGATAGCCTGTTATTGGCTTGCTTCGAGTCTTACAACTATCCGCCATCTTGTAGCATCGTCTAGACGATGACGACTAGCGATACTAACGATGGACAAACAAAGAAATTTAAAAAACAAGTATTGGGCTATACTACTGTTCAACTCCGTAGCCTTGTAATTTTGAACCAATCCAGAAGACAGAGAAACTCTTGAATCAATACCCTCAGAGGTATGATTTGTTATGGGAACGTGGAGGACTTCGTGACTAGACAGATTAAACGTGCGACAGTCGATATTGACTACACGGGGAGTCTTCAGCCGGCGGGGACCGAACCCACGATCCCTACCAACCCTATCCCGGCCCTCGGTTTTCCATAGCAATCAGAGATTTTGATATTTTCAGTTACGTTTTCCTCAGTGGATTCATTAGATTTCGATAGCATTTTTATTTTACGTTCGCTTAGTTATTAATTTCCAGTAACTCATGCGCACACTATTTTGATATCATTTTTGGTTAGGATTCCAAATGGGGTGTTAATTGAGGGATTTCGCAACAAAGTGCCTTGTATACATTGCGCATACTAAATTTTTAACGATTTTTCTCTTTTGTTTTCGTACTTCACATAAAAAGATGGAAGATTTTTCCTCACATTTTTATATACTCCATTTTCTAAGTTTCTGAAATCGAATATTAAAGTTCGAATTTTAAAGTTTTAGTTTGTAATCGCCGTTGAAAAGCTGGTCTATATCAGATTTCCTACTACCGATATTTCACTCGGCAACCTAGAAAGTTTTATCCCAACCCAAAAGACCAGAAAATTCAGGGGTTCACTGAAGAAAGCTAGTTTCCGTCGTGGCAGACATTTTGAGTTTAACTTACCGTCCTTTGTGTTAAGAAAAAGAAGCAAAAGTTGAACAAAAATAAAAGGGAAAATTTACAAAGAGAAAATATCAACTTTTTAAGTTTCATTCTCAACTAACTTAATTTCGAGATTTCAAACCATTTATTGATCTAATTAGTTATTACTCAGAATACGAAATTATATTTGTTCTTTTCACTTATTGGTCTTTCTTTTCCAGTAACATTGCGTCATAATGATTTTTGGTTTAAGAACGATTTTTTTTTTTAAATAAATAATTTTTTTAAAAATAAATTTACCACCTAAAATTAATTTGATTTGACGTTTTTTTTCCTAGTAAGAAGGTGGAGGTAGTGGTGGAGAAGGTGGAGGTTTACCTACTGTAAATTATTAACCCTAAACTTGAACTTCTATGATTATGAATAACCGCATTTTAATTAAAAATACGGTTATTATTAATACTAACCGGTCAAAATTAATAACGAAAGCTTCTTTTGGTCATAGTGAGAAATAAAAAGGGGAGATTTCCGTATCACGATCTGTGACAGAATAATCGCCAAGTCTTGGCAACTTTCGGGCAGCGGTAGGCAAGGAACTAAAAGGGACCAACTCGAAGGGTATAACTCGTAGCCACCACCCGGGCAAACATCGAAATATTTTTTTTTTTTTTTAATTTTTCCATTTTGAAATAAATTTGGCACCTTGGAGATTGTAGTTGGCGTAGCAGATCCAATACAGAAATAACCCCAATAAAAACGCGGAAGAATGACAGTGACCAAAACTTATAGATTATAAATAATAAATGGTTAATGTTATAAATTCGCTTAAATTATTCACTTTCACAGGCTTATTAGGTTATTATTAGTATTGACCGTTTATTATTAATAATAACTAACTATTCACATTGACTGTAACACATTTGCAATTTACTGAAAAATAAAGGCAATCATTTTTTAAATCTATTTTATTAATGCATCGATTTTTTCTACATTCCTGTATTTTTTCCTGAAAGTATATAATATTTTTTGAAACTATATTTTTAAAAAACGTAGTCATTTTTACAACATAAGATTTAATTATTATAATTTTGAGAAATTTAGCACTTTACTAATATCCATGAATATTTTAATGAAATAAATAAATGTAGAAAACTATATATAAACGATAAAATTTAAGAAAATATTTTGAGTGCAAGGGACTGTTGTTCATGATCCTCAAGTAAAAGCCAAAGATTTAAGTCTATTTTTTTAAGGACAAATTTTGCTTAACACTGAAGATTTTTTAAGATATAACCATCTTGGAAGATATTTTCTCAGCAATTCTACATGATTCACACTGGTGTTAAAAAAGTAAAATTTTTTAATTAGAATAATTAAAAAAGCATAAATTTCAAAACCATTCTTTAAAAATCAAGCAATTCAGTTAAGAGAAAATTTAAGAAAACTTTCTTTTCTTTGGAAAAAATTTAACATAACATGCTGAAAAGTATAAATAAATAGGACACATATTCAAAATACTTAAATCTTTATTTCTATTATAATACTGTAAAAAGAGGCAGATCTTTAAAACAAACGCTGCATACAAGTAAAGTTATATGATTGCATTCTTAGACTGTCATGAAATAAAGATACAGTGTAGATATCGCACTAATATATTATTCACTAAAGCTATTATTTTTAAAGACAATGTAGAACATTTTAAAAAACATTTAGTGGTTTTATAGTTTACAAAACCAATTTCTAAGCTAGTGACAACCATGTTCATTACTACAATTATGATAAATGTTTTGGAAGACAATTGTTTTAGAAAGTTTAAAAAAAAACAAAAAATAAATTAATTAATATTTGCTCAAAATCTGTCAATTACTTGTTTTGAATTTGAATTGAAAGAAAATTAACATTTATTATTAACACAAATTTAAATAGGATAAACTAAATTTTCAAAATATATAATGTTTAGTGGCATATGCATAACTGAAAAAAAATGTCAAATAAAATGTCGAAATATAAAAATTAATAAGTCAATTCAAAAAAATTAAAATGTATATTCACTAAAAAAATAATAAAAATATGAATGTTACATACCGAAGTACTCAAAATAGACCTTTAAAAGTTGTACATAAAATTACCCATTTAAAAAAAAAGCATATTTTTAAAAGGAATTTATGTAATAAGACAAAGTGGCGTAGTTGCTACTAGGTTTTGCAATTTTTTGTTGATCTAAAAATTGTGGTATTACTCCAATAAAAGAATAATTCATTATTTATTAAACTGTTTTTGGACTTGCATTAAGAAATGAAATTGATAATACTGCAAAAATTATTATTCACAAATTATGAAAGAGTTGGTTATCTTTATACAACAACATCAAATAATGATATATTTAATTAACCCCTTCTCTGTTTACATTGCATCTTAAACGTTCGACATTATGTGCCCATATGGTTGGCGTCACATGCAATACGATGAAGAAAAATTTGCATCATTGAAATTGAATCTGTCTTTACTTGCACATCTTTAAATCCTGTGATTATTTTTCAGGGTTGCCACTCAAATCTGGAAAAAAAATTCCCTGTGTTTTCCCTGAACATATTATGCACAATATATTAAGAGAAAACAACAATTACTGGGCTCTTGAGTGAGTTATTGTTGGGTTAACTATATTTATTAGCTTTAATTGCTGGAAAAACAGCTGAACATACTTAAATAATGCTATAGTAAAGGAAATAGTTTATTGGAGCTGAAATCTCCCATAGATTACGTTTTGAGTGGTCACCATTTTTTAAAAGACAAAAATAAGAAACAAAATTCCCTGTATTTTCCCAGTTTGTAAAGAAAAAATCAAAATTCCCTGCATTTTCCCTGTTATTTTAGGTGATTTGTAAATTCCCTGTATTTTCCAGGTTTTCCTTGTGGAGTGGCAACAAGTATTTCTAAATATTGCAAAGAGATGGTGCAAGTATTCCCATTTTCTTGACAATTTTCGCAGTGAGATTCCTCACTATGAATTGAAATCAGAATCATTTTGTGCTTTCTGTAATTTTTTTTTAATGATAAATGTGAGCTTCTACGCTTTAATGCCCAAGAATGATTGTAAAGCTGTTTTAACAATATGGTTAGCAAATTATTTTCCAAAATATTTTTTACCAAATTTTAATAATTATTTAATGCAGATACTTATCTTAAACACCTTAAAGCAATACAGTTATTAAATATGTTATCATAGCGTATTTTTATAAGATAAAACTTGCGTGCATTACAGGGAAAACTGGAGATCAGTGGGCAGGACATCACATAAGTCACCACCAATAGGTCAAGCAAACAACTGCATGCTGACAAAAATATATTTTACATTTTCAATTTTAGTATAGAACATATATTAATTTTCAGCAATTAAAAAAATCCAACAGAGAAGGGGTTAATGATGTGGTCATCTTAGGAGTTTCATCAAATCAAGATATCTTATATATCAGAGCAAGAAAGCAATAAACGTAACATATATAAGTTATTTTCAAATACATTAATCTTATTATTATTAAACATCTTATAATGAAGTTATATAGCATATACAAATGCATCTTGAAAGACAACATTGAACAAATATACAGTCACAAAACTTTCAAAACAGAGAAATGCAAAATATGTATATTCAGCTAAATTCTTTTTCATCACATAACATAAATAAATACAATAAGATCATCCCAAGTATCAATTACATTAGAGATTTAAAATCAAAATCTTTAAATTTTAAAGTAATATTATATTGTTAATATTACAGAAAATTCATATCTGCACACATTAAGTAAGGAATAAGTAAAATCCAAAGCACCATTAGAAAACTAATGTAATAAAAATAAATTCAACAATGTTACACCAATTAACAACTAAAAAGTTTTTTTTTATTAAAATATTTTACTTAAATTTAGTCTTAAAAACTCATTTGTGTACCTTTTAATTACTTTATTTTTCACATCTCAGCAATATTTTTCATTAACATTACATAGAGTCAGAGCAAGAAATTGGAATAAAAAACGTGAACTAATAGATAAAATAGGTAAAAATGCATTAAAAAACTGTTACATATTTAAGTTTAAAACACAAAAATTTGAAATTTGTATGAATTTTTTAAACCACAACATTTTGAACTAAATTTGCTTGGTCCGATTAGAGAATAACTCTGCAACAAATGCAATATGCTTCCTGGACTGTTTGATTACACACAATATAGTTTATAACAATAAAAATCATGGAGGCAAGTTAAAAATGATCTAAGAAATTGAAATACCCTTCATACGAACACATGTAATAAAAAAAATCATAACATTATCTCAAACATAAATTCTTAAGACCCAAAAAAATAATTATGCTAAAGCTCATTATAAAAAATTCTGCACAGGAATATAGATAATTGGTAGAGCCTCTTAAGACTTTTTTAAAATTTATTACGTTTCTAAGTAATTCAATCAGGAAAAATAATATTCAAAATTTGAGAAAAATGTGTTTTATAAAATATGTATATATATAAAATAAACTTAATGTAATTTTAAGTGGCATATATTATGAGTAACAAATCAAGATTCAGTCAAACCTCGTTAACATGAACTAATTTCTTGTTTCCTGTTAAATTGTATACAGATATAATACTTTCCACACATCTTAAGTTACAATTTTAAGCTGTTTTTTTGCTTTAATAGATAAGAGAAAGTGCCTTGCACGATTTTTATTAAAACTGTTCTGAACTGATAACGTAAACAATTTTTAACGTGCAGTTTTTGCCACTTTCATTGAAGGTCAACAAGGTTTGACAGTATAAGTTGTAAGGTATTATTTTTATATAATAAGAATTCGAACAACCGCAGATGTTTACCAAATAAAGACCAACAAAAAAAAAAATTGCTATTTTTTTTTAAAAAATCACAAATTGAGATTTATCATAACTTAAAACAATTTAAATCAAATAGAACTCTATATTGTAATAAAAAACTTCCTTCTTTTGTTTAATCTCAAATATTTTCAATAGAAAAAAATTCATCTAATGGTTGGAATGCTTGCATCAATAACAAAAACAGACAGAAGTATTTTCGCAAGAGTTAATGACTATTAATATCACACAGAATATATTTTGAAAAAAAAAAATCTGATATTATTAGTAAAGTAGATAGCAAATATTTTAAAGGACATAGTCTTGAAGCAAACAAGTGTAAAATAACAGGTTCAGAAATTTTTAATAACTGATTATAATAACATCTATTTACAAGACTATGTAAAGTTTATTTGTGGATTACACATCTATAAAAACATGTAGCTGCATATTATGATACTGTGCATATATAGCAATACAAATAAACTTGATGAAGTTCTTGTTCATGGAAGCATATGCAAGTGTCTAAGAGTGAAACAAAATATAGTGAAATATATGTAAGAATTCAAAGAAATAACAAGAATGGTAAGTTATTTTGAATAGATATTAACTTCAATATTTTTGGTACATAATATCTCTGATAAAGTAATGCAATTAAGATTTATATCAGTGAGCGTCATTCAGATAAAGTAGCACAACAATTCAATAAACTTTCATATTTTGTTTTAACAACATGACTAGCAACTGCAAGACATCCTCCTTGAACAAATCTAACAAAATTATCACCAACAAGAGGACCAACAGCAAATATTCCAGGATAGAAGACACTTTCGTGATTATATAAATTTATATCAACAGGATTCTTTTTACAATCAACAGATTTGTCTGGATTTATACCAAGCTTTAATGCTTTATGCGGTAAATATGACAAATCAGGCTGCCTACCAATGAGAACAAGAACGTGTGAAACATTTACTACTGATATTTCCTTACCATGTTTGCATGAATTAATCATTACTCTGCCATTGGGTTTAATACATTCAATTTTTGAACTAGAATATGCTTTGTAACCTTCATAATGGTCAGAATCTTGCATCATTTGATATACTTTGTAATATTCAGGGTACAAGTCTTGTGGAATTTTATTGAAAATGAGATCTGGATCACAGACTGAACGTCGAAATACATGAATAGTTGGAATGCCATAAAAACGAGCTGTGATTACAGCATCTGCAGCACTGAGCCCTGCTCCCACAATGAGTAACTTACTAACTTTATTAGGTGATTTTTGGTTCCTTATTAATGTTTCTAAATTTGATGATGAATGTGATACAAATGGTAAATTTTCCCCTTCAACATTTAACATATTAGGTTTATCGGAATTCCCAGTAGCTAAAACAACATGTGGAGTTATGTACTTAAAATTTTTACATGTAGATGAAGAATCAGAGACAAAGGTGTAGCCATAAACTCTCCACAGCTTATCAAATCCTAATGCTTGAGCAATGTCTTGTTCCACAGGCAAAACTGAAGTAACAACAGATCTATTCAGAAAATATGGGCTTAGCCCTTGTGATTGGACATATGAATGGTAATAATTGGCAACAGTTCTTACATTAGCTCTTTTCTGCTTTAAACCAGATTGTAACCTAAAGAGAACAAAACATATAGTAGATAATATTTTAATAACCCAAAACTAAACACAATATAGAAATATATAACATCAGAGCATATTTTCAGTTTTTTATACAAAGTTAAAATAAAAATATTTAGAAGCTTTCTGGATGTGAATCTGGATATGATAGGAAAAAATTCAAACAGTTAAGCTTAAATACTTCAATCTTATATATTACAAAAAATATTAATTTAATAAACATTCAAATATTCATTTGATCCCTGAGGCAGAATTTTTTCGAGCTACCTGTGACAAAACTCTCTAGCACTAATATCTTTCTGCAAGATAGTTTTAATAATAACAAACATATTTGTTACTAATTTAAAATAAAACAAACAAAAAAACTTTTTTTAATAGAACATGTAATAATTCTTTATTCTCATATTATGGGGGATATTCTTGCATTTTGTTGGGAGGGAGGGGGGGAGGACAAATTATTTCCTTTGTCTCATTTTGTAAATAATTATCACAATTAAAAAATACTTAAATCATGAAATCTGTAGTAGTAATTGCCGAAAAAAAAACATCTCACGATTAAGGATGACAAGATCACATGAATAGGGCTCCTAAAATGAGTGTTTAGTTTCGAGATTAGGTTGTTGTAATAAATAATAACGTATTAAAAATATCGGATTTAAAGATTATGGAGAAATCACTATCAAACTGAGATTGTCAAAAAGTGATTATCTACATGCATGATTCAATATTATTTATGAGATTCTGTAGAAGAGAAAAATAAAATTTTTTTAATTTTTCAAAAAAAAATTTCTGCACGAACTCTGTAACGTTCTGCGACAATGTCATTTTTTCGACCATTTTTTAAAGCATGCAAATTTTTTGCCTTATCCGTAACTAAAAATATTGTTAAATTATTTCATTATTAACGAATTACAGTGGAAAGTCGCGTATCCGGAATCGGCGGGACTTTCTGAAGTCCGTATATTTGATTTTTGCGTATAATTGACTTCCAAGGTAAACAAAGCTTAAAATGATCTGAATCTGAGAAGCAGAAAATAAATAAACATTATTTTTCGGGCAATAATGTTTTAGTATTAGAATGATATCTAATCAATCATAAACAAAATATTAGAAAAAAAATAATTATTGCTATTCTAAAAATAAATATAGAAAACGAAAAAAATTCCCAGTTATGAAAATATTAATTGCTCTCTCCACCATTTTGAACTAGAACGATTCAAGCAAGAAGGGGAAATTCCCGTCATTCAATAAGGTGGGTAGGTGGAGAAGAAAAATTCATTTCCTCCTTACTTGTCATTCAAGTTGAGGGCGGGGTAGTGACAAATTCTTATTTTCTCTCCCATCATTGGCTATCAATCAAGCATAAAGGCGTGGCATGCTAATTGGGTTCTCTTTATTTTTTCTTGTGTGACTAAAGGGGATTCCCCCTCCACTTTAACATTCAAAAAGGTTCCAGGAAATGCCTCTTTTACTAGCCAGCTGCATAGGAAAGAAGGGGGAGGGAGGGGACTCAGTTGTGCTCTTTTGAAAACAAATCTCCCCTCCCCTTTCCTGCATTCCAGAGGAGGAGCGTCATGGTCTTAGTAGATCTTCTGTTCTCTTTTCTGTTGATTTATGGGTTCAATGCATAGATCTCTAGAAGCTGAGAGGGGGGAAAACCTGTCAACAGACTTCGTTTTTTTTTTGTTGTTTTTTTTAAAGGAGAGGGAAAGATGAAGAAATGTTTGTTTATTTTGATTGTTAAAAAGTGTCCGGGAAATCGACCCTTCCGGAAAAGGGACGTCCGGATATGGGACGTTACACTGTAATAGTTCTTCTGTCATCTTCTTTTATCTTAGCAAAGAAAGGAGATAAAATGATGCTGCTTATGTGAAATATTTTAGACAACAGCATCTTTTGAACTTTTCCTCTGAACAACACAGGTTAAAAGTCCCCACAAGTTGAAAAGACAAATTAAAAACTCAAAATTCCCTTTCCCCATGGAAAATTCTTTTCTTTTTTTAATCAATTTGACCCTTGCACCAGGGTTTGCAGGTTAAAATCAAATGTTTTTTTTTCCCTAAAAAAAAACAAAGTCTCGTTTTTCTTAAAAAGTAATCTCTTTAAAAGCTTACTTTTTTATTATTTATAAAAATAGTTTAGTTTGAACAGTACCAAATGAATAAATACTATATTTTCTCATAAAAATTTTTCACTTTTAAGTTTAAATAGTTACTGCATTCCTTTAAATAAACATCAATATGTTATTTTTAAAAGTTTAGATATCATAACTTTCATGCAAAAATATCCATAAATTGATGTGATCATAATGTTCTAAAAATGCTTAAAATGAAATATAGCATCAAATTCATTTTCTGAACACATTTAAAATTAGTTAAATAATGTAATTATTGAACAAGTTAAAATAAAATGTTAGAGGAACTTATTTTTTTTTTCCATCATGTTCAACACATTTTATGCTTGTTATAATGAAAAGCATATATTAAAATGAAGTGCTTGTTTAAGTTTTAAAGACTAAATTTTAGTTACTGTTATCAAAGTACTATTTTCAATTTGTATTGAATTATGATTTTACTCATTTTTGTAACATTTTCAAAAGACATTTTATGCATTAAAAAATACAAAAAATTCTAACAAAAAATATTCAGAATTAACTTACAATATTTTTGTTGTATTTTATTTTATTTAAAACTTATGTAGGTATATTGGAAATTTCAGGTACATTTTCATTTTTAGTGAAAGGGATTACTGCACAGAAAGTTTCAATAAAACTTGTTGATTTACAGTGGAAAATTTGTAAAGTTAACAAAACAAAATATGGCCATACTTATAATAAAATAAAATAAAGCAACCTCTCTTTACTAGGCGAAGACACTACTATATTTTCATGACAAATTTTCAATATTTTTTAATGGTCAGAGACTGAGGGGTCATTCGGTGTCCAAACAATCCCAGTCCTAATGCCAAGAATTTTAAATTACCAGTGAATGAATATTTCCAAATCAGTATTTACACTGCAATGCAGAAAACTCACATATTTGTTCCTTTTCTCACATTATAAAATTGTTAACATGAGAAATTCAAGCACTCTCTAAATAAATTTCAAAATGAGCAAATATCCCGTATTTTTGGAAAAATTTTCAAATTCCACTATTTTTCATTCTTTTTAATGTTTATTTCACTTATTTAGCTTCCCTTGTCACTCGCCTTGTTCAGACATGATTTGAGCGGAAGAACAGCCCTTCTAAACCAAGAAACCCCTTTCAAAACACATGAGATTGAGATCCCAATACGTTTAAATTCATTATTTTTACATGAATGTAAGATGGAAAAATATCTAAGAAAACACCTTCCACATAGAGAAAAACAAATAAAAATTAAACAAATGCCGATAGAGATGAACAAAACAAATATAGACATAATTCAGCCAAATGGAGAAAAAAAATTAAGATCGAAATTTAGAGAAATGGGTGAAAATGGAAAATCAAATAGCATTATTTACATGCTCTGCAAACTTTGCCTTAAAGTGAAATAAGAAGAATCCTTTTAGAAGCGGTAAGTAAGCCGAATCAGAGTAGGTGGAACCCAAAAAATCGCCAGCAGCTGATTATATATCAGGTGGAATCGACCATAACAGTCACATTTTTTATGTTTTTAAAAAATTCCAAATATATTTATCATTTCTAGAATATATTTACAATGTGTATTTAATAAGTTTAATTCACCGTACATTAAAATTTTGTAACTCGAAGTAATTAAGTTCTTTCTCTCATGAATTTTCATTATCTGTATTAAATGAACTGAGATATGACAGATGCTTATAAAAATTTGCCTAAAACGGTCATTACTACAACTGCATTTCAAAAACTACATTTATTTATGAGGAAACTCCTTACATCAGCAAAATAAAAAAAATAACCATGAAATCCATAAAATAGTCTATAATCTCTATTCACCTTTCTTTTGCGTTGAGGTAAAAAAAAAAGGGTTTGGTTGACTTCATTCTTTTCAGTTGGTACTTTCTAAAATGCAGTTGAAGATCAAATGATCGCCGCTGTGTTTTTATTTAGCTTCATGGTATATATAACATTTTATCCAAATTATTAATTAATTTCCAAACATGTCTCTCTTCTTCTTTTCCTCTGTTATTGTATTTCAAAGATTTTTGTGCATTTTGCTTTTCAACTGAATCATTAGTTAAGAAATATTTTATTTCAGCAGTTTGGATGAATTTTGCACTGAATTTGAAGAGAATAACCCCCTACTCTCATTTGTACTTAAACGATTTCAATAGGAAAAATTTTCCATTTTAACCAAATTTTTTACATTGCATTTTATTTTCTTCGTACATTTGCTGTTTGGATATATTTTGCATTTCAATTGAAGAAAGCTTGCATTAGAACTGTTTCCTTCATTAGTATTTTTTTCACATTTCATGATTAGGACGTATTTTCCATTTTAACTGAATTATTCTATTAAAATGTGTGTTTTTCACCATCTTAGAATTGGATATATTTCAACTGAAGTAATTGCTTAAAAATACTTTTTTTCCTTTCCTTACCTCTAGCAATGTAGATAAATTTCGCATTTTAACTGAAATAAATTATTTTATTTTTGTATTTTGTGATTTTAATACATTTTGCACACTGATTAAATTAATCGTTTAGAGCAACGTTTTTTCCCCCCTGCGACTTGAATGTATTTTGCAAATAATTAGTTAAGACCTACTTTTTCCTTTTTCGCGTTCAGATCTTGCAGTTTCGCAATTTAGTAATATATTTTGCACGTTAACTAGATTAATAATTTACAACTTGTTTTTTTTTCCCACTTTCTTTTAAAAACCTCAGTAATTTGGATATATTTTCTCACTGAAGGTCCTGATATAATAAGGTTTAATAGTATAAGTGAAAACTACTATTCAGAAGCAAGAATAGTCATTAAAAAATGTATACTGATTACACATTTCCAAAAAGGAATATCTGAGTGGGTAAGTTTAGGTGCAATTAATGTAGCATGCTTTCACTTTAACTTATCTTTATTAGTTCATAGTATGCTGAAATTTCTATTTTATATTAGAAAAATAAGTATTTCCTTGAGATAATGAGGCAAAAATATTTAATGCATCAAAAAAAAAAAAAAAAAAAAAANAAAAAAAAAAAAAAAACTATTGAAAATTTTTGTAATCGCATAATTAAAGAAATAATTTTCTTTGCGCCTATTTGTGTTCTCTTATAATTTTTCAATCTCAATTTTAAGAAATCTCATTCTGTTTTTGGAAAAGGGTGAGAAATTCTCCCCCACATTTTTTTTCTGTGATGAAAATCCTGCTAATGGACACTTAGAAGAGTAGGATGAGATTTAGAGTTGGCAAATTAGCAGCAAATAACAGACAAAAACAAAGCCAGCATTGTGTTAACATTAAGCTTTAAATAATCTGACTACAGTTTAATCACTAAAATGACCGTGAGAATTTAATATAACCTTGTAACAAAACATTTCTGGGGTTAGAGAAATAAAGCAGCTTAACCCACTGGCGGTTATGGAAATGGGCAAAATTGGGAGAATGTTTCTCCCCTACACACAGTTCCCCTATCTATTAACATGGGAAAACCGGTTTTGCTATGCAGAGAAGACTGCAGGTTAAAATGCGACTTTTTACGTGCAGAACCGTCAGTGGGTTAAAGTTAAAAATAGTTTTTTGATATTCAAATAGTCCCAACACTGAATTAATGACTTATACACTTGTATTGAATTAAAAAGTTAACCATTAAATTGATTGCTAAGAACATAAGTATTTATATTTGCTTTTCATAAATTGCGATAAAAATTAAATAATTGATTTAACTTAATTATATTAGAATTAAGAACGATAAAAAAATTAAATTTAGGAAATCAAAAAAATTTTACAAGTTAGGAAATATATAATGCCTACAATGGTATCACAATGCTCCGTTATGTTAAAAAGCAAATTGCAGACCTTGTAGTTGGTAAAAACAAGGACATTATTTGTAAAATATACATACATTAGACTATTTTTAAAAAGGGTAAAGAACTAAAGAAATGTACAATTTTCTCTGGCAAACGAATATACAACTGAGCATTTAAATTTGAAATGATAAACTTTATTTTAAACAAATTTTCCCACAAACTTTCAATGTATGGTAAAATGTGGTTCAAATAGCCATAATTACTTCCCATTTACAATTGAGCTTGTAACTTATAAAAATTATTAGAAGTTTTATAGTGTTAACACATAAAGCAGTAGATAGTCAAGCGGATGAACATAAGTCATTTTGTTTTAACCAGAAGTTTATATGCATAAATTGAAAAAAAAAAAAAAACATCTTTTTTAATATTTAAGCCTTTTATTAGGTATTATGTCAATGCAAAATTAGAATATTTTAATAGTAAGGAATATTAATATCTCACAAAGACACCGGAGACTACCTAATTTAACTATTTTATAACAATTTACGACTATGTTCTTGGGTTTAATTTTAATATCTTATGAGAAATGAATAAAATATTGCAATTCTTAAAATAATTTTGTAACATCATATAAATAATAACAATATCATTAACATACATATAAGTAATCAAATAGTAATTTTACGCAGGAAGCAAGAGAAATTCTATCTACATACTTGATTCGATTTCTGTCCCAGTCTTGTATATTGAGACTGGGAAGTTCCATCCAAGAACTGTGACTAAGAGTTAAAGCAGATTTATCCATTTTCTAAAAAATAAAAATTTTTATAAACAGCAACCAATTTGTAACGAATATACAAAAATTTTTTTTAAAAATATTTTAATTAAACTCTCATTAAAAACTCAAACAGTTTAACAAAAAATAAAATTGCTACTGCAAAAAAAAAATTACTGTTACCATGTGCTGTAACTTCTACAACATAATTTTAAGAAATTGCTCATTTGAGGTTAGGTCTGCCTTTAATACTACATGTGCAGTAGCACAAAAAAAATATAAAATATTTAAACAGTTTAGATAGCTATGAAACACACGTTTAAAAATCCTCGACAAAAACAGCAAAATAGACTTTTTAAATTGTATTTAAGAGGTCCATTTAGATAAACATTAACAGATACAAGTGTAGAATAATGACTTTTTATTACTAACAAAAATATTTAGAAAGTAAAGATTATAGTGAAAATTTAAAAATAAGCTACTTCAGATTCTTCTTTACTTCTAATACTTATTCAAAATGTGACAGAATCAAAATGAAGTACAATGAAACCTGTCAAGTTGACCACCCTTGTATGTTGACTACAAGTCGACATAAATTACCAAGAACCATATTTATTCCTCAAAAAAAAAGAAAGAAAGAAAAAAACAAATGCCAAACTTTCTGATTTTAACCAAGGTTTTTCTAAAATGTTGACCATTGAAATAAAAGTTTTATAGGAATTGTTGGATGGGCTTCCAAAATAATAAGTTAGTAGGAACATATTTTATTGTTAAACATAATGAAGATCATAACAGGAATATAGGTAAACAATACAAGGAGTTATTGCTGTAATGAGGGCTGGAACATGAATACATATAAAAGAGAAAAGCATACATCAGAAGAGCAGCCACGCTTGAGCATGCGCAATTGGGGGGAAGGGGGATTTTTTTTTCTTTAAATATCAATCACAATTTGCCTTGTGATACCAATAGATAGCATATAAATTTTTATGAGATTATATTAAATTCTTTCAGTTTCTACGAACATGAGAGTTTTACATTTACACTAAGACATTTGAAATTTTTAAATAATAAATTAAAAATTTATTTATTTATTTAAATTTTTTTTTTCTTGATCTAGTAAAATTTTAATGCTAAATTGAATGTCATAAGTTATTTAAAATCAGATGTTTCTTTTAAGTTATTCACTAAATAACGATACCATAAAAATCATTTGATTTTCATTCCTATTTATTTCATTTTGAAAACATTCTGTGATCAAAGATTCTGTGTTTTGGGCAAGAAAATTCGTTCGAAAAGTGTCTCCTTTCTTTTACTTAAAATTAAATATTTTTTTAACTTAAAACTAAATAATGAGTTTGAGCAAAGTTAAAGTAGCTAGAACTTTAACATTTTGGCCTCTTTTTGACTCACTATTAGAATTCTGCAATTCTATACTACCAACTTATGATTAAGTGTTCAATATGACCTAGAATAGTATTTATATATTCAATATGACCTCAAGGTCTTGGCCACTAGCTTCCAAGCTTTTAGTTAAAAAGATTCATATTTCTCCTCTTTAACTTTCTTCCTAACTAAATTATTATGCCTAGCAAGTGTTTCATTAACACTTTGGTTTGTTTTTCAAACATCAGAAATAAACAAATTATTTTAGTTTTCTATTTTTTGTTTGTTAAGTTTCCAGGTCTTTCCCATACGTAAAAATCTTGTCCTGCCAAAAACAGGTTGTGTTATTGGGCTAGACTTTATGTTCAACGGTGGAGGAGTTAGGCTTTCGTTTCCAGAGCTCTAGGTTAATATCACATCTTCCTTAGTTGAAAGAGGTTCATTTTTTGCATAAGGAGGAGTTAAACTAGTGACTGGATTGACGTTAGTTTGTTGTTGCTTCATGAAGTCAAAGTTTGAAATAGGCTTGTAATTATAAAACTCCTCTATGAATCTGATGTCACAGTTCACAATTAATTTTGTTTCTTTTTATTCTACAGCATATAAGCTTTTGTTACTGTTAAATAACAAACAAAAATATATTTACTTGATCGGGGATCAAACTTTGCTTTTTGTTGTTTGTTTGAAATATTAGCTTACTATTCGAAAATTTTGAAATTGGATACACTAGGCCCGAGTCAGAAATTAAAACAGTTTATAAGGAATTAAGTTTTTAATAACACCTCCTGTAGGAGATTTATTTCTTATGTAAAAAGCACAGTTCACACCTCTAGCTCAAAGACTAGGGAAAAGTTCAAATTGTAAAAGGAGAAATTTGGCCATTTCAAACAATGTACTGCCTTTTGACAATTCGAATCTGTTTTGGGCTTCAAATAGCTGATTTTTCTCACCAGATAACATGCTCTTGAGGGTGTTTAAAATACTGCACCACAATATTCTAATCCGTTACCCACACAGTGTTTTGATTTTCATTCTGATTTGTTTTCCTACTTGAGCTTTAGAAATTATCAAGCTTCTTTGACTTTATCTTTCATTTGAAGGAAATTGATCACTGTACAGGGTGATTTGTCGACGTCATTACATACGATGATTTGATAGACCACAGACGTCAGAATGAACATGATTTGGTTGTTGCTTACTTTTGAATTTGGATTCTTTGGAAAATGATGCTGCAGTCTGTTTTAATTGAATATGAATTTTGAAGTTCTTTATGGAATCTTTACAGTTGAAATTTAATCATTTCAGTGTTTAATTTCATTAGATCACTTTCATTTAAATGTCAAAATTTTTCTGAATATACATTGCGATGCCAAAATCTTAACCTCGCCCAGTCCTAGTGCTAGTAAATGATTAAAAATAGAGCTTAAAATAATGAAAAGTCGAATAGAATTAAATTGTTAAGGTTTCAAGTTTTTGACCTAGAAATCTTTATAAATCAGCATTAGTTTTGATGGAAAACTAACAGGTTTCACCGCATGAGATAAAAGTTATACAATTTTAACAAGATACTCAAAGCTTGAAGGGTACCTCAGCAGTCGGTGAAAGAACAAGTCTAGTATGATTTAAAACAAAATACAAAAACTAAATAACTTACTTGCCAGGAACCTCCAGGGTCATCTCTGCCAATTACTACATGGTTAACAGCCTTTAGGGGATCAAATTTCCATGAGATAACAGATGGAGTGTCAATACCAAGATCTGCTTGTGGATGCACTAATGTGTCATATAATACGGATACTGGATTTAATGATCTTCCATCTAAGCCTTCGGCAAGATAATCCAAATCCTAAATTAAAAAAGGTGCATAAAATTTAGTTTTCTCAGACACATAGGTGGCATTTTAAAAATATTTATTTACAATCACACATCTTGAGCAAAACCAGTTTAGATAATTTAAAAACCTCTATTTAACTTTCACTTGCTTGTATGCATTGCAAGTTCAAAAGTTATGTACAATAATGAGAAATAAAAACATAAATAAAAGGTTACTTTGCTCCAATAAAAACATAATACAAAGCAATATTATCTTAAAAATCAAATCTACCATGATTTTTTGTGATAGATATACATCTCTATTCCTATTAACATGATTTAAGATCGTGCACCGTGTTTCGTATTTTCATGATTTTATATCAAATATCAGGCTTAGTATTCACGTGATTTAAAAGCCACTATTATGATTCGAGTTCAAGTGACTTAAAAATTATACATCGGAATTCGTATTCTCACGAATTTAAAATGAAACAGAGAGATTCATACTCGTGTGACTTAAAAATCATTTATTGAGATTTGTATTCATGTGATTTTAAAATCTAATGTTGATATTCGTACTCACGCGATTTCAAAACCAATAATCGAGATTCGTCTTAACTCACTGAATAATAAAATCAACCACTGCAATTCAAATTAACATTATTTTAAAATTAAATATCGAGACTCATATTCACATGATTTAAAAATGGCGCATTAATATTTTTAGTCCAATGTTTATGAGATTTTATGGATAAAAGCATCCTACATACACATTTCTCTTGTGCAATTTCTGTTTTTTTTTTTTTCAATAATTTAAAAAGTGTTTTTGCACAAAAAATTTTTGGATTCCTATTTCAGCTTTTTTGGTTTTTTAACAAACTTATCCCTGTGGTATGGATCAATATGGAGTTCTATAATAATGAAACATTTAAAAAAAATCCTAGATTTTCAAACAATTTTCCCCCCTATGTAGGTGGCGACGACAGAGTTAACACTAGTTAGAAGAGTTAATCAATGTGCAGAAAGTTTTTAAATTGAGATTTTGCGTTTGTAGATAGTTTTTCATTTTATCTAAGTCTGATCTAGGCATAATTTTTAACCACTTTATTTACAATGATCAAGTTATAAATCTCGTGTTCCAATCACTTTTGCTTTGTTTTTCTTTCTTTTTTTTTACCATTTTATTATTAATACAATATTACTATGACAAGCAAAGTTTGAATCTGAGTTATCACTTTCTGAAGTGCTTGAAAAGAACATAATTTCCTGGCTTCATTAACTAAATCGGAACTTTTGTGATCCTCCTTCAATTCAGAGACACTTTTGTGACAATTACCATTTTCTTGATTGGCAGGCACCCTAGTGCATTTATTTAAAGCTGTTGGAATTAACTTCAGGCATCTGAATGTGTGCATTTAATCATAGCAAACATTTTACGCAACTGGTAACATAAAAACTTTGATAATTCTGTCGTTTAAGTAATATACCTATAATCCAGAAATTTCGGAAACCCGAACCTTCCCATCCCGAGAAGTCCAGATTTCCGAGGCTATATTGTATATTACAATTTGTTACTTATGTGGCAGATACATTATAATTAGTTAAAAAACTTTTTAAATTGCAAGAAACATAAGCTGAATTACCAGAAAAATCTAACTTCAATGAGTGGATAAAAAAAATTTATATGTCAAAATATTTTAATAAAACAGTTGTAAAATACTAAGGAGAAAAACTAACACTTATCAAATTGTTAAAAGTTATTTTAAACAAAATCCATCATGGAAAAAAAAGTTTCCAAAATGTATGCACAGTTGTATTGCAAAAATATGCAAAGAAAACCTTAGGTAGTGCAATAAAGGAAAAATGACAAAAAAATTTTACCAGTCTGGATTTTTATGTATTTTATTGAATAAGTTATAACACTCAGGACAATTTTTAACTTAAAATTTATAATCTGAACATCAGGAGAGATTGTGAGCCCAACTCAAAAATCCTGAAAATTTCTTGAGTAAAATAATTAATGATTCATTTCAAGAAATTAATGTCCTTATAAATTTAAATTATTGATATTTTCAAAACATGAAATACAAAATAAATTTATGCAGCATAATTTAAATGAATAATTATGCATAAGTTTACTTTTATCTCTAATCACATTTATTATTCTACCAGAAAAAATATTTACAAGGGAAAGAGATGCCAAGTATAAATTCTAGTTCTAATATTTTTAAATAAAATATACAAGAATTTTTATACATAAATGTGATCAATGATGAAAATAATGATATAATGAAAACATTTCTTTTCTCTTTTAACTCATGAAATCAAAAATTCTACTTCAAATAACAGATTTATTTTCGGACAATTTTGTAGCATAAAGATGTCTTTTCAGGAGGGGGTAATTTATTCATTTATGTTTCTATTCTGACTTGATTTGTTGAAATTGAAAATTAAATTATCTGCATGTAACTAATTAAAGAGAGTGCAAAAGAATGTATTCCAAGCATCTTGCTTTTGAAGCAAATTTCAAACAATAACTGTTAAGCTACAAGAGCAAAATGTACAGCAAACATTTTCTGCCAAGCAATGTTCCTACTTTATAGAAAATTTAGTTAATCCCAACATATCACTCCAAACACAGTAAGTAAATTAATATCATAAAAGCAATAAACAGATATGTAAATAAAACACCAAAATAAACATATTTTCCAATACAATGACTATTTTTTACTCTTTATAACTTTATTATAATAAGCATACGTACTAAAGAAATTTGAAAGCACCAAATTATTAAAATTTAATTAAGGTACTAAAATAAAAGAATTTTAAGGAAAAATTACCATTTTAGAATTGAAGTATATCACTACCTTACTACATATGCACATGGCAATAAAGCATTTAGCTGTATTAGTAATGAATATTATACCTGTTCAAGTATAGACTTTTCCTTATTTTCTTGCAATCTGTGGTTCAGAAAATCTATTGGATGTGTTGAACCATTGTAATATGGCCAGTTACCAGCAAGCATGTATGACAATGTTATTCCTGATGGTCCATTACCTACAAGATGAACATAATCAATAATTATATATTTTTAAGCACAAAAATTATGTTTAATGAGATTTTTATAACAATCAATGGAAAATCTGCAATCATTTGTAAAAGTTTGAAAAAATTTAATAAAAGTTTTGCATGTTTTCTGGTAAAAAAAATCTTTCATATATCTTGTTCAGATTGCTGATGCCATTTTTCAAAAGTAATCACTACGCCACTAGCTCACATTGCAACATAATCAATATCATTTTAATTTATTCCAAATTTTATTTATTAGTTGTTCTAATTTTCTACTCTGAAAAACTGATTTTTTTAAAAATTTAATTTATATTGTTTAGTAATAATTATAGATATACTATAAATAACATTATTACTCTAAAGTTTGGTTACTGCTGAGACATAGGAAAGCAATAATTATGTATTAGCACCGAGAAATATCTTAAGTTTCAAATAAAGTAGATATTAACTTGGCATTTTATTTATAAAATATCCTTGTTTCTGAAACTAAACTTAAATTTTCCTCTTCATGCATAAAGCACAGAAGTCAACATTCCTAGGCTTTATTCAAAACAAAACAAGTCTAAAACTAAAAATGATAGTCTGGTGCACCCAAATGATGTATTAAGATTCTGGGCATTGTTTTAACATTAATTTATCAAGGCAGAGTAGATAGACTGAAATATACATAAGTGCAATTCTTTAACCTTAAATAAATATCAGTATATTGGATTCGGAGCAAATCGCACTTCACTTAAAATAAACCCTCAAATGAAAATTTTGCGCATGCACATCACTTCAAAGTTAATATAAAAATATTGCTTTTCCACTTTCCCACTAAATTCCATCATACTTATTTGTACAAACAAGTACAATCAGAACCCCTCAATGACAATTGTTGCTGATGCTGTCGAGAAAAAACAATTTCAAAACTGGTACAGATGCTTAATAAATCAGAGCCTAATTTAATATATTTATAATAATTTATTAACTTAAAATACACATTTTGAATAGGTGTGCCTTTAATTTGAAACAAAGTTTTAATTTGTAACTATATAACTATCTTGATGAAAAAAATTGACTGACTCAGAAACTTATAAATTTTATTAAATTTTTTTATTTGGTTAAGATTGTTTAATCTAGCTGAAATCCTTAAAATAATAATATTCAATTTTTTATATTTTAATGAGCCTACACAATGCAGTGGTATAGTAAGATGCTTTCATATACAAAATTATGGCATTTTTTAAATATTGACTGTTTACACCATTTTCCTTTTTTCATAATCAGATTATGGGGCACTATCAGGCAATAGACAAAATTTAATAGTTATGAATAGATTTTACATACAACGGTTGTAAAAACAACATAATATTCATTAAAAGATTTTTCTTTGAATTTCAAAAAAAAATTATTACACATATATTACCTATTCAGATATATATAATTTTATGTACAAGTAAATGAACAGATGAAAATAAGCAAAGTAATTAAGTTACATAATTTACAAAGAGTATAAAACAGAAAATAGTAATTATATTTAAATACAAATCCTTTTAAAATAAGAATAAAAATTAAAAAACTACTAGCCTTTAATATTGAACCAAAAACTTTCTGAAAAACTGCATAATGGTGTAACGTTGCTGATAAATAAAACAAAATATTTATGTAACATGAAAACACTGTTTATTACAGTTATACAATAACACTATTCCAAACATAAATTAAGAATTTAAAGAAAGAAAAAAGCAAAAATTACATGCCTAGTTTCGTCAAAAATTTTAATTTCTTTAAAAAATTTTATAAGATTTCAGAAATTTTCTACAAAACAGGATTTTATCTCTATGTTACACTGGTCTATTAAAAACTAGATTCTTTGTTGTTTATCATTGTAAAGGCAGAAATCACAACAGAGGTTTAAGAGACTTAAAAATCACTTGGATCTAGAGCACAAAAAATGCTAATTTATTTAATGTTTATAAGAGAAACTAGGGTCATGCAGACTTGTCGGAATTTCAAAATATTGTCATAATAATTTAAAGTTTAACATTGTTTTAAAGTTGTTTATACTAAAAATTTTGGAAATTTATATATAATTATTTATTAAACTTAGCAAGAATAATTGTCTACAGAATCCAAGAAAATATTGCAAAAGAGCATAAAAAATATTATTCATAATATAAATAATACTACTGCTTCCTGAAAAAAAAAAAAAAGACAAATAATACAATAGAGCCGTGGTGGCTCAGGGGATAAAATGCTCTCCACCCAATGAGGTGAACTGGGTTCGAATTACAGAGATGGCTTATGATACAAACTCCACACCCAGCTAATGCTGATGTGAAATATCCTAAGTGGTAGACAGATTAGACTCTCTTAGCCGTCAGGCTAATATTGGAAGATTTTTGTGGCTATTCCACTCCCTATAACGTGAATAGCAATTTGTTCCATCAAAAAGTCCTCCACAAAGACAATGCAAATTTCGCCCAATACTTGATCAAGGAATCTTCTTAATTTATTGTTCTTTTGGTAGGAATAACTACCAAAAGAACAATAAAAGAATCCCTTCAATTTGTGATGAATTGGCACACAAAAGTACACATTTTAATGTGTAATTCAAGTGTCGTAATAATACATATTAAAAATATTGGGATTTTCAAAACCATGTGGAATTGGAAAGCAATAACTGTCAAGAACAAGATTGAAAAATAGTTTTGATTTATGATGAAATCAGCATAAACAAAAATCAAAAGTGGATTATTTAAATGTGATTCAAAACTTATGAGTCAGAATAATATGGCATTAAAAAAAAAGATTTTAAAAACTAAGTGAAAATCCGACAATAACTGCTGAAAACATAAAAAGAAAGTCTCTTACATTAATGATGTGATGGGCACAAATAAAGTTCATAAAAAAATAAAATGACAACGATATCTTTAAATTTGTATATTAGAATAACGCCATATTAAAAAAAAGATTTTTAAGACTGAGGAAATCCGTGGCAATAATTACCTAAAAAGTGATAGACAGCTACAGATTTGCCACAGACTTAAAATTGATGACTCAAATGCACAGATAAAATTTTCCAGCTTTCTTTTATATTTCCAAAAAAGAAAAACAAAAATTTCATTATATTCAGAGGTACTCTGGTGGACGGCACTTAAGCACCTGGCTGTGCACCCCTAGTGCTGACACAGCTTTCACGTCATTTTCAGACTACGGATTATTAACAAGAGGTATGCTCACAAGTTTAAAATAATATGCAATCGAAAAAGATGTTTGGGTGAGCGAAAATTTGGTTCAGGCATGCATTTTAAAGTCAAACATGCCCAATATGCCATGTAAAAATTTTATGATTATTTAAGCCCTCATACATTAAAATTAAAACACCATAATTTGAACACTCAGCATCAATAGAATTCTACTTAAAAAGTATAATATGTAGCTTCTAAATATAAAAACTTCCACTCACCAATGATAACCACATCTTTAAATATTTCTTCTTCCATAGGTAGATTATTACGCTGATAAATACAGCTAAATATCTTACTAAAAAGCCAGTCTAAGTTACCTGCAAAACAATAAAGTTGATTCAACAAAATAGCTATAAATAATTACAATTTAATTAACAATAACACAATATATGAAAATATAAATCAGTTAAAGTCAAGTGGAAGCAATAATGTAATATTTCTGTATTGGTACCTACACCAAAATTATCGCCATGTTATGGGCTTCAAGGCAATGGGTCTGAGGAACTAAAAAAAAAACATCATATAATGGGTCCACCTCGGAACGTAGCCACTCCCCAGGTAAACCTCAAGGTTACATATTATTTTTAGAATTTCAAAACCTTTTGGCACTTAGACAATCTTAATTAGCCAATATATCCATATAATCTCTAACAAATGAAAGGATATTAATAGAAAATAGTTTACAATCAAACTCATCTAAAAGTTGGGGAGAAATACAATCTGCTTCTTAAACAAGTGTCAATCGAAAATTTTAAAAATAAAATCTATATTCAAAACTTAACAAATTGCTAAAAACGGCTTATTTATAAAAATTTTTCATTTACACCGGTCAATAGTTTTTTTTTTCTTCAACTGATTCTAAACAAGTGAAGATTTCTGCAATCTGCGGCAGAATAATCTGCAGGTTTCGCCTACTTCCCAGCAGCTGCCAACAAACAACTTAAAATAAATAAAAAAAACATCACAGAAGGATACCAACTCGCAAAGTATAACTTGTAGCCACTCCAGGTAAGCCTTTACTAATTTTTTTCTTTCAAATTTGCAAGTTTAAGATCTAGTTGGCAATACTAGTTGATGCCGCAGATCATGATACGAAAATATTCCCTGCAACAATTATCTAACATAATACACAAAATACATCACTAACTCCTAATGATTTCAGAAGTTTGCAATTTCTTGTTAAATTCCAACTGATTCTTCCTCATCACTGTCAAATTCTACATTTTATAAATATTTGGTGACTAAAAGGCTCAGAGACACATACGTCATAAACAACAGATTTAGAACAAGAGTTTGCATAACAATATTTTCCTGTTAGTTATTGAAATTGTGTGATTCATGATAAGACATATCAGAAACTTCATACATTCGTTTCTCTATATTGTTTATCGATATACGATTTCAGAACAAACTGAACTAAAAGTATTTTAAACCTCTTTTTAAAGAATGTAAAGTTTTATTCCACAGTAGAATACACTTTTAAAAACTTTAATAAAATAGCATTTATGATGTTAAATAAAAATTAAGACGTTAAAATAAGAGTCGAAAAGAAGAGTACAAATTTCAACATTATTACATAACAAACCTCAAAATTAAATGGTTAATCCCAAGGAGTCAGTTTTTATAAGTCTTCCCTCTTCATACTTAAGGAATATAGCTAAAATGTATATTTAAAAGGCTAAAATACACATGACAGATCTAATTATAAACACGAAATATGAATGTGTAAGATCATTATAACACTGATGCAACTTACAGTAGGCGTATTAAACACTTTGATCGGATTAACCGGCAGCAGAATATACTGCATTTTGTTATAAGATGTTAAATAAAACAGTCTGGGTCTACGATTGATATGACCCTTATTATTAAAGCAATCTCGGAGACAAAAGATTAAAGAATTCATCTCAAAATTAAAATACGTAAAACTTAAATATCATACAGTAGCCTCAATCTTACATAACCAAATCATCGAATAGCAACTGTTAAGCCGGCGATGCCAATTTTGGAAGTGAAATTTTGAGCTCTTAATGAAAACAAAACTGAAACTATTATCACGGACTTCCTTGTTTGCCGTTATTACTTCTTTTATCTATTTCTTTGGAATGAGATACCGATATAACGTCACTTAAAACGTTATGCAGCAGCAATGAATAATTAAATTAATTTTTTATGTATCAACAGAAACAATGTTTTTTTTATTAGAAATCATATTTTCCAAAGATGATGCAACATATTGCGTACCTTAAATATGGTAATTTTTTTTTTAATGAAATTAAAAATTCTACTTTTTGGTATCTTAATGAAAATATTTTTATTTTATAACCGTCGTTGAACTGCCGAGCCATGTTTTGGGTTAACGACTGTTAATGTTCAACTCCATAGCCTTGTAATTTTGAGTCCAATCCAGAAGACAGGGAACTCCGGGATCTAGAATTGGGAGAAATTCACCTTCGTGGATGGCTTTTTGATCGAACTACCCCGCATTTGCGTTACATGGAGAGAAAAACCAAGAAAACCTCCCCCGGTTAGCCTGATGGTAAAGGGACTCCCATGAGCCCACTGAGGATATTTTACGTCAGCACTGTGACGGTGTGAGCCGGATGCGGAATTCGTATCGACCAGCCATGGCTGTGACTCGAACCCGGTTCACCTCATTGAAAGTCGGACGCTTTATCCCTGAGCTACCACTTCTCTTAATGAAAATATTAATTTTGTCTACCTTCAATTAGAAAAACGTTTAATACTTAAATTCATGTCCAGTGGCGTACGTAGACTTAGGTGCGCCCCCCTGAAAAATTTATTAGTGTGCTCTATCTTAGACTTACCACAATTTGCACTATCTGAAAATCGCGAGTTATTATAATATCATATTTAAAAGATCGGAAATTTAAGAAACATAAGGAATTTCTACAATAACCTTTGAAAACACAGTTGTAAAAGTCACTTGTATTAACTATGAAATGGACTTAAGGAGCTTTGAAAGTAATTACTAAAATTTTAAATTATTACATTACAGTTTTACCGTATTAAAAATATTGAGGCTTTAAGACTTTGGAAATTCGTAACGATGACTACAGAAAGAAAAAAAAAAAGAAAGAAAAAAAAAACTAGTTTTAACGTGTCAAAAACTAAAATGTGTAATTCAAAATTTACTTTTTTTTATTTTCCAAAGAAATTTATATATATATATATATATATATATAAATTTTCTGCGGATATAATCGTGTGGGCTGATGAAAAGATTATATCTTTTATTTTTCGGACTTTTCAATAAAATGTTATCCCCTTTTCTTTTCTTTTTCCCCAGTTGTTTTATTTCTTTATTATTATTTTTCTCCCCCCCTTTTTTTCATATGTCTGTAATTTTCCTTTGTTTTATCTTCATTTTGAACTTATATAATAAGTTCTGTTTACTTGCAGCTTATGCACAATAAATGAAACTTATTGTTTTTCTTA